TTGATTTTTTCCTATTGTCTTTCTGTTTTCTGTTTCATTGATTTTTGCTCAAATCTTGATTATTTCCTTTCTCCTGGTGGGTTTCCTTGCTGTGCTTTTTCTAATTGTTGGAGATGTTGGTTTAAAGTGTTGATTTTGGCTCTTCTTTTTTTCTTTTATTTTTATTTTTCAATTTTTATTTCTTCTCTTACCCAGTCTTTCTCAAGGAGTGTGTTGTTCAGTTTCCATGTGTTTTTACTCTTTTTCTGTTGATCTTCCTATTGTTGATTTCTCATTTGATAGTATTGTGATCTGAGAAGATGCTTTGCAGTATTTCATTGTTTTTAAATTTATGAAGTCTTGCTTTATGGCCTCACATATGGTCTACTGTGGAAAATGTTCCAGGTGCACTGGAAAAGAATGTAGACTGTGCTGTTGTTGGGTGAAGTGCTCTGTAGATGTCTATAAGGTCAAGTTGGTGGAGTGCATTGTTTAGCTCTTCTGCCTCTTTGTTGAGTTTCTTTCCAGTTGTTCTTTCATTGAAAGTGCTGTATTAAAAGTCTCCCACAATGACTGTGGAGTCATCTATTTGACTTTTAAAGTCTGATTTATATATTTTGGGGCTCTTTCATTGGGTCCATAGATACTTATGGTTATATCTTCATGTTCAATTGACCCTTTAATCATTATATAATGTCTTTCCTTGTCTCGTATGGTGGTTTTTGTCTTAATGTCAATTTGATCAGAAATTAATATTACCACCTCTGCTCTTTTATGGTTGCCAGTTGCTTGATATATCTTTTCCCAGACTTTGATTTTTAGTCTATTTTTGTCTTTGTGTCTAAGGTGTGTCTCTTGTAGACAGCATAATGATTGGTTTTGTTTTCTTATCCAATCTGCAACTTTCTGTCTGTTGAGTGGTGCATTTAATCCATTCATATTCAGTATAGTTATTCATGAGTGTGAATTGGTTGCTGTCATTTTGCTATGTGTTTTTTCATGGTGTTTCTTTGTTACATATTTTTTCTGTGCTGAGCTCATTATTTTTATGAATTGTGTTATCATTTCCTTTGTTGCTGTTGTTTTAGTATTTGCTGAAATTTATGCTTGTCCTCTTTTTTATTGTGACGTGAAGGTTTATCGTTTTTCTTTGAGGTTACCCTGTAAATTATAATTTTCTCCCTGAGTTTGGGATAGTCCTTTCTATCTTGCAACTCACTTGACTTCCTCACCATTTAGAAGTTCTGTAACTACACAGTATTATCTCTTTTTGGTTTGTAGTTGTCTTCATTTGCCAATTGAAGTCTCTGGTTCCCTGCTTTCAATCTTGTAAGCTCAATTTACTTTGGATATGTCCATAGCTGTGATTTCTGGGTTATGTCATCTTGTGTATTAATGGTCAGTTGTTGTTTGCTATTTTTGGTTCTCTGTTCAAAGGACTCCCTTTAGCATGTCTTATAAGGTTGGTCGGGTTTTAACAAATTTCCTTAGTTTCTGCTTATCTGGAAATCTCCTAATTTCACCATCATATTTGAGGGACAATTTTGCTGGGTATATAATTCTTGGTTGAAAATTTTTCTCTTTCAGGGTTTTATATATACCATCCCATTGCCTTCTCGCTTGTATGATTTCTGCTGATTAATCAGGGCTTATTCTTACTGGTTGTCCTTTGTTAAGTAGCTTTTTGTTTTTCCCATGCTGCTTTCAGGATACTGTCATTGTCTTTAGTTTTGATGATTTTGATGATGATATGTCTTGGTGATTTTCTTTTGGGGTCTGTCCTGTTTGGGGTTCGTTGGACTTCCTGAATGGATATATTCTTATCTTTCATTGTATCAGGGAAGTTCTCTCCCAACAAATCTTGGACAATTTTCTCAGTGGTTTTATTTTTCTCTTCCTGTTCTGGAATTCCACTGACACATAGGTTATTCCTTTTGATGGTATCCCACATGGACCTTAGTTTTCATTTTGTTTTGATCTTTTTTCTGATTGATCCCTTTCCAAAGAAGTATTCAGGTATTTGTCTTCAACCTTATTAATTCTGTCTTCCATTGCATCCGTTCTACTCCTTTGCCCTTTCAATGTGTTAGCTATTTCTGACAATTTAGTATTAATCTTCTAGATTTCTATCTGTAGATTTTGAATCATTTCTAAGTTCTCATTTATTTTGTCATTTTGTTCTTGTATTTTCTTCCAGAATTCTTCTAGGGATTTGTCTGTGTTTTCTTTGATCTGTCTCTCAGTCCTTTGAAGATACCTAAATATAATTCTTTTGAATTCCTTATCAGGGAGTTCCAATGCTGTTTCTTCCTCAGGGATATGTTCTGGGTCTGTATCCTGCTCTCTAGTTTCTACCACTATATCTTCTTTGTTTGGACTGTGATGGTCTTTTGTCTCTAAGACATTGTGATGTTGTTGTATTTAGATCTCTGTTAACTGTGAAGAGCAGCCAAGGGTGAGTCAGGTTCTTCTTGGTGGTTATCGTTGGCCTCTTGGTGGAGAAGGAGGTCACTCTCACTCAGTAAGTGAAGCTGCAAGAGGTGTGGGTGTAGTTGTGTCGTATGGGGACTGTTGCTGTTTCCCACTCAGTTAGATAAAAATAGCAATCGAATAACCATCAAAAAAAATAAAAGCCAATGGATAAACAACACACCGTGTAAACAAACAGGAACAGTAACCAAAAAAGAGAAAAGGGAAAAATACAAAAACAAAACAAAACAAAAAACATCACAATATCTGGGGAGAGGCCAAAAAGAGAAAAAAGTAGAGAAGGAGAACAATGAAGAAAAAAATGGGAAAAACTCAGAAAAACAAGGAACAGGGTTACCCACAAGAAAGAAAATGAAAAAAAATTGGAACCTGAAACAGGGAAAAGAAAAAAAGCTGAAAACTGGATCCTGGCAAGGGAAGAATAAAGAATGATAATAAAAAGGACAAAAGTAATAATAATAGTAGTAGTTTTAAAACAGACAAAAACAAACAAAAAGAAAAAAAAAAATTCTGGACAGGGCGGAGCACCCAGGCTCTGTCCGAGCACACAGACTGGGATGGAATTCCTGCCAGCCTAGAAGGTCTCTGGGAGTGAGGGATGGCCGCACCTCAATTCACCAAGATGGTGTGAGATATAAGAGTAACAAGGGAAATGTCGCACCTTTTCAGTAGTCCTTGTGTCCGGAATATCTTTGTGGTTCCCAGCAAGTGGAGCCTATTCTTAAGTCCCTGGAATCTGGGAAATCGCTGTTGCTTTAGATATCCAAAATGGTTAAGCCACTTGTAAACATTCAAAATGGCTGCACTCTCCAGACAGGCAAAAGTCCACAGCTCAGCCCACCTTTCTCTTCACTGCTTCCCCTTTTATTCCCCAGCCATCAGAGCAGTCCTCCATGCAGTCCCTGGCTAGCAGGGCTGATTATTAGGTTAATTCTTAGGTCCTGCCACCACTCGGCAGTATCCAAGCTATCTGTGCCGTCAGGATTGCTGCCAGACTGCAGCTCCATATGTCTCCTTTTTTGATGTTTTCATGCAAATTCTTCTGCTAGTTGGCGCTTAGTCCACTTCTATATCCTTTCCTTCAAGGCTCAGGGGTCCAGGATTATCTTCTGTATCTGTGTTAATTGGTTCCCCTTTTCTTTGTTTAAGAGAGTCTGTGCAGTCCTGCCTATTCCACCATCTTACCAGAACTCCACAATGCAGTAAAATTTTTGAAAGATAAACAAAATTATTAAATAACTCTTAAATGAAAGAGGAAATTCTAAGCAAGATTATAGAATGTATAATGGCAGTGAAACACAACATAATCATAATCTATAGCATACATTTAAAGCAGGAAAATTAATAGCCATATACACACTTATCAATAAAAATGAAATGTGAAAATAAAATAGCCAGCTTTTAAAAAAACACAAAGTAAATGAAACAGTGAATAGAAAATAATAGGGCCAAAATCTTAAGGATTTTTTTTTTTTTTTAATTTACATAATAGATCAACTCTTGATAGAGAAAACTAGATGCAGTCACTACAGAATTTTGATCAGTGTATTTTCCTTTATTTGCCAGGTGGGGTACCGACAGCCAATAGTTGCTGTCCAGGCATTCTTTTCTCAGCTTAACGATACCAAGAAAGAAGCAACATTTGACTGCAAGATTGATGGCTCTTCCAACCTGAAAAATGAGGATGATCGTGACAAGTTTTTGGGACGAGTTACGTTCAAAATCACAGTGAATGCCTAGTATGAGTAGGATATCTCTACAGAGTAAATGTTGTATTGTCTGTCTTCATTTTGTATCAGCTGGACCTGCCATTCTAGGATTATGAAACCACCTTGGAGAAAGGTGGGTGGTACGTGACACTGGGGTAACATCATGTGCTTCCAGATCATAATGTTCAGTGTCCTCCGAAGGAACTGCCTGTTGCCTCTGCTGCCCTTTGAACCAGTGTACAGACGCCATATTAGGGACTGGTAAATACCTGATAGAAATCATGTATAATGGGGTCTTATCCTATTTTTATGTGGTCTTAATTGCCAAGTGTCTAAAGCTTAATGTGCTGTGCTGTGTAAATATTTTATGGATTTAACACTGGTTAACTGTCATTTTGATGCCAACACAATTTTAGGGATAAAATGATAAAAGAATAAATGGTACCAGACCAACATCAAGTGACTTTTTATAGCTGCAATAAACGTGGTGTGTGGAGACCCCTGAGGTTGTGTGTGGGAGGAGGAAAAAAAAATAAAAGTGGATTTGAACGTGTTATCTTGGATTTTTGTAAAATTATTTTTTACATGCTGAATTAGTCTATTGGTCTTTTTGATGAACACAAACTTTTTAATGTAAAACATGTAAGAAAAATACTGATTAATTATTTTTAGTGCTAGAACTATATACAGAATATTTTAGATCACAGATGAAACAAAGCATTTTTAGTTTAGCCAGTTATCAATATGCACCTATCTTTTTTTTTTTTCAATGAAATTCAACTCATAAAATTTAAATTGTATGATAGTTTGTGAAATATCTTCCTGTTTTTATTTAGCACACTATGGACTCTAATAAACATGTAAATTGTGAATTTTAAAAACTTAGAACTTATTTAGAACTTCATAGCAAGTGATACTGTTGTATTTGAGCATTCTGTGGGTAGTGTCATGAAATATTCCTTCCCTCAGTCTTAGGTGTATTCTTGGTGTGATTCTTTGTCATTATCCACTGCTTTCTCTTTTGCTGAGAAAGGTGTGTTTCCCATACGATCTTTGTTTTCTCAAAGTGTTCTTTTTGGGAGGAAAGCAGATTCTTGAGTTTTTCTTGTGTATTTTGGGGCAAGTATGGCCCAAACCCACTGACTTGAGAATGACTGGAGAAAATGTCAGTGTGCTGGGTGGCCTGGAATGGCCAGTTGGCTTTGCCAGCTCCTGTCCACAGGTGGCTGCCTAGAGGTGAGCACTCAGCCCCACCTGGGAGTTCTGTCACTGTCTCTAAGGTAAAAGTGGTACCACGTTCAGAAGTCTGCAACTGACAAGTGATTTCATAGTTGTTAACAAGGTATACCAAGTCTTGTGAAGATGCCACAGGACCAGGAAATGTTCTGTTGTATGTAAGGTGTCTGTGAGTCAGAGCTGACTGGATGGCAACTAACAACAGCCTTCCATTTAAACCTGTTAACACACGGTTGGTTGTAGGCAAAACAAACAAAATTCCTGCCTTTCTTCTGCTGCTCTTCTCTCTGTGGGTGATAGGGATTTAAGCAAGCACTCCAACACTACAGCAAGACTGTAGTTATATGTACACAGAGTCTCCAGTTACCAGGATCTAAACATTCCTGGAAATCTGTATATACTTTCTTCACACAGCTTAAAAGGAGGGTGAGGAATTGGGAACTAATACTCAATGTGCGCTCCATGTTGGTATTTAGCTAACTTTCTCATTTAGTCCTCACAGCCCTGAGTGGTGCCATTACCCTCATTTTATAGTTAAGAAAATTGCCGTTCCAAAGTCAGGTAATCCATTTGCCTAAGATTTCTAAGCAATAAAAGTAAGCTGGGATTTAAAGTCAATGTCACATGTCCCTATCCCTTCAAAGCTAATGATCACGGATTCCATTTGAATTTAATCTCTTCCCCCAGACTTCTGTTATAGAATCAGCTAAGACCTCCTCACAGGCTGCAATTTTAGTGACAGAGGCCCTAATGTATAGTCATGCACCGCATAACATTTGTTGTGGCAACATCTGACTGCATGTATGTCCATGGTTCCATAAGGTTATAATAAAGGTCAGAAACAACAATTGGAGAATGGGCCTTACACATTGCCAGGTGTAGTGAGTGCAACAGGTTCCCATACACAGCATGTGTATCTCATGTCTCATATGCAAAGCGATCGTGCTGCCTGTCATGTGATGCTATAATGTATTACCTATACTATTTATGCCTGCGGTACTGCCTTATGTATCTGCTGTACTTTCTGTAGTTATTTTAATGTGACCTTTCCCTAAGAAATACCGTTGACATATAACAACAATATATGCTCTTAACTCCTAGGCAACAACATCTAGTCCTGTGTATTGTGCATCTCCTGAGGGTTGTAGCATTATCTGCTAATTTTCTTTCAAAAAGTGTTACTATGAAGTTCATAATGGCTCGCAAAACTAAGCAAAACCAGTGCTAGTGATAGCAGCAAGGGACAAAGGAGAAATACCAATTTGGAAGTGAAACAGAAGGCTAACACAGGTGGAAGATCATTGAACGCTATTGCTCACAATTTAGGCATGTCTGTTCATTAAGTATATAATATGGTGTTTGTATACAATATCCAGTCACATGTCCTGTTTCACAGAACGTATTGTGGATATTAAACAACACATGACTGAATTTGCATTTTGTGAACAGGACAACTAGCTTTTCTTGTTATCACCATCACATAGTGGGAAATTATCACTAAGAAAGGACAACAGAGCTTAAGTAGTAGAGAATGTTCTCTGCAGAAACTTCTAGTAAGAGAAACGTTGTGACATAGTATGAGACTAACACCTATATGTCTGAAGTGGGATAAATTGAACTATATTTTAATTTCATTAGCTACTCTCCAGCTGACTGGAAGAGATCCATATTTGTACCCATTCCAAAGAGAGGTGATCCCACAATGTGGAAATTATTGAGCAATATCATTAATACCGCACGCAAGTAAAATCTTACTGAAGATAATTCAAAAACAGTTGCAGCAGTATATTGACAGAACTTCCAGAAATGCAAGCTGGATTCAGGAGAGGACATGGAACGAGATATTGCTGATGTCAGGTGGATCTTGGCTCAAAGCGAAGAATACCAAAAAGATGTTTTCCTGTATTTTATTGACTATCCAAAGGCATTTAACTGTGTTTATCACAATAAGTTATGAATCACATTGTGAAGAACAGGAATTCCAGAACACTTAATTGCACTCATACAAAACCTACACATAGACCAAGAGGTAGTCATTCGAACAGAACAAGGGGATACTGGGTAATTAAAAATCAGGAAAGGTGCACATCAGGGTTGTATCCTTTCACCATACTTAATTCAATCTGTATGCTGAGCAAACAATACGAGAAGCAGGAGTGTGTAAAGAAGAATGCCAGGATTGGAGAAAGACTCATTAATGACCTGTGATATGCAGATGACACAGCCTTCCTTTATGAAAGTGAAGAGGTCTTAAAGTACTTGCTGATGAAGATCAAAGACTTCAACCTTCAGAATGGATTACAGTTCATAAACAAAACTACCTCACAACTGAACTGAAAGCAACATCATGATAAACGGAGAGAAGATTGAAGTTGTCAAGGATTTCCTTTTATTTGGATCCATAATTAATACCCATGGAGGTAGCAGTCAAGAAATTAAATGATATACTGCACTGGGCATATCTGCCAGGGTATTTTCAGTTGCCTTATATAAATGTGAAAAGTGGGCAGTGAGTAAGGAAGTCTGAATAATTGATGCCTTTGAATTACGGTGTTGACAAAGAATATTGAGTACACCACGGACTGCCAGAAGAATGAACAAATCTGTTTTGGAAGAAGTATAGCTGAAATACTCCTTAGAAGTGAGGATGCTGAAACTTGCCTCATGTACTTCGGTCACGTTCTGAAAAGGAACCAATCTCTGGAGAAGATATGCTTGGTGTAGAGCATCCGTGAAAAAGAGGAAGACCCTGTATGAGATGGACTGACAGAGTGGCTGCAACGATGGCCTGATACATAGGAATGATCGTGGGATAGAGCAGGACTGGGCAGTGTTTTCGTTCTGTTGTTCAAAGCGTTGCTATGAGTCAAAACCAACTTGACAGCACATAACAACTATACAATATATGTGCTCATTTTAAATATCAGTTTAACTGACAAATTTAATCTTCTCCAGGCACTAGATCAAAATAGTGTGAGAGTCATCTGCCTCGTTTTCAAAGCTGGTCGTATTTAGTTCTTTAGTTACTTGTTATCCAAACTCATCCTCTGTGGATCAGCAGCATAGGCATCAGCTAAAAGTCTGATAGAAATAATCTCAGCACGTCCCAGACCTTCAGAAACCTTCATTGTAACAAGGTGCCTAGGTGATTTGTGACACACTGAAGTTTAAGAAGCTGGGCTCTCCTGTGCTAAGGAAAACCTGAAATGGAAGATAAACAGACTCAACTGTGGCTTCATTCATCCTAGTCAAAACTTGTCTGTCCTATCAGGCCCAGCTCCTGCCCAACCTCCTGCTCCATACAATACTGCCTGTCTGTTGGGGTGTTTTCATAGCAACAGGTTTTAGAGGCGAGAGCTACCTTTGAAATAATCTAGTCCAAACCCATCGCCTTGGCCCCCTGCACATAAATGCCATTACTGTAATTATCATGCTTTGTCGTCTCCTTAAGTGCCTGCTCCCTATAATAGTTGAAGGTCTTTGAGAGCGTGTCTGTTCATCTCTATCCTCAGATGTGCCACTAATCACCTGGGATCCTGCACATAGCAGGACTATGATAATACCTGTTCATCTCCTGATTTCAATAAATGAAGCAAACAGAGCTAGGAAGATTCAGGTGGGTCAACTGAGGTCACACGGCAGTCAGTGGCTAAGCCAAGTCCAAACTCTTGAACTGGGAGGCACAAATAAGATGATTTACTGACCTAGATGTATGCCTATGCCATCCATCTCCAAAACACACTCTCTAATTTTGAATGATACCTCAATTCTTATTCTGAGAACTAGTTTGCTTTT